ATATGCGATTTGAGATGGCCACCTTGTTTAAATCGCTTCTTACACTGCTCACATTCATATGGTTTTTCTCCAGTATGTATTCTCATATGCGATTTGAGATGGCCACCATGCTTAAATCGCTTCTTACACTGATCACATTGATATGGTTCTTCTCCGGTGTGAGTTCGAATATGCACAGTGAGATCACTCTTTTGTGTAAATCGCTTCTTACAGTGATCACATTGATATGGTTTTTCTCCAGTGTGTATTCTCATATGACGTTTAAGATTATTCTTACAAACCGTAACAAACTTTTTCTTATTTTCATCACTGTTGCAAAGATAGCACTCATATCGACGTTGTTTACACTCTCTTTCATGTGCTTCTTTCTCAATATTTTGTGAAAATCCGCGATGACAACCTGAACAGTGGAACAGACTATCCTTATGAGTCTTCATATGCGTTTTGAGATGTTCCTTACGACTAAATCGCTTCTTACACCGACCACATTCGTATGGTTTTTCTCCACTGTGAGTTCTCCTATTACTAGATATTTTCAAGTTTTTGTCTAACTTCTTGTGGGATCTCTGAACGTCCTTTTTCTTTTTCTTTGTTTGACCAGCGATTCCTCTATTGCATTTCTCTTTGTTTCCATTACATTTATTTTTTTGAGAAATCCACTTATCAAGTGTCGACTGACCACTTCTCACATTTCCAGCTACATTCACTTCAACAACAGCTTCGGAAATGTTCGCTTCGTTCGTGATTTCGTGGCCTACATCTTTCCGATCAACTTTTTCCTGAGATACTCGTGATTTCTTCCTGTATGGTTCACGTACATTTGTCTCGTTGATCTCATCAATTTTATCAAAAATATTCGACGAATTCGATGGTGCACGTTTCGCTTCATTTTCAATGTTTTCTTTGTTATGATCTTCGTCACTTTCGATTTTGACACGTTCAGAACAGTTTGGCTCTAGCTTAAATGCACGCGTCAGTTGGTTGGCCGGAACACGAACTATCGGGATCTCATCATTTTCCAATTCTTCTTCTTTTGTTTCCACATTGGGTATCTCCCCGCCAACTGCCTGATCATCGCTCTCATCATGATCATCCTCGGTTCTAATCTCACCATCAACATTTCGAAACGCAGTCTCTCTGGATGGTAGCGAACTGGTGCCAGGCCTTTCATCTGAACTATCATCATCGCTGATTTCAATAATTGCATTTGAGTTGCCATTTTCGGTTGAAATAGGAGTGACACTTCTACCTTGACGATTACTGAACGACGATTCACATTCAAATTTGGAATAAACTTCATTTAATCTAAAGAATAGAAAGGAAGATAATGATAATATAATGAAGGGCATAAAATACAATATTCAAGGATGAATTACCTGTCAGTTGAGCGCTGTAGACAATATTTCTGATGTGCTTGGTGGAACGATTGACCAGATTGTTCGAAATAGTTATTAATATTTCGTAGTGAAGACATCGCCTGGCGTTCAATGTTCGTCAACATTTTGTCCAGTTCTTGCATCCAATCATCGGTCGACATTTTTGAACAGTTTCTAATTATTTGATTCTTGGCAACAATTTAAAGGCAAGATTTTGGTTTAGTTTTTGCGACTCAAACACTTTAATATACGGCGAAAAATAAACAAAATGCACAAAACAACTGAATATTGTGGTAACTAAAATACAAAATTGAATTCACTTGAATTTCACAAGGTGTTTTCTTAACGAAGACGTGTTCACGACTGAATTTGAAGAATTTCTTTTGAAGATTTAAAGTTATTCTACCACAACAATTAAAATGTAAAAACAACAAGAAGAAGCCATTTTGAAAGCATTAAGAGAGACTTATTACGAACTATTTTTATGATGCATTTTTCCTAGTTATGAATTTTCGACTTTGGTTCTCCAATACTTAATAACTAGGTAATGTGTTGAATGCATTTTCGACAAACAAGAAAACATTTTATTAGTAGCAATAAAATTATGAAAACTAAAAATGAACAATAGAAAGCATCTTAAGGCTTACTTTGTTTGGTTTACGGTCAGGATTTTGGATTTATAAAAAAAAAAAAATATATAATTTAAAATAAGACAAATAAAGAGTCTTACAGGAGTAAGACGAACTTTTCCGCACGGTGGTAGATGCCTATTTTATTAAGTTATATAAATTCGGCATCGAAATATTCATTACTTTAATAGCAGAAGTACTCGAGAAAAGATTTTTCACACGTTCATGATGAATCCATTTGTACGACATTTGAAAGTATTCTATTTTCTAACAAAACACTATAAAAAATATGTCTGACGTTAATTTTGCCATAAAAATTATTTTTCAAACACTTTTCATAACTAAAGTCATAAAAAATTTGGATTTTTGTATGGGATCCATGTCTGTGTGCTACCTTAATGGCGTGAAACTTTGCACAGGTTTATTTTTTTCACAAAAAAATAACATTCGGAGAGTTTGGAGAAATTTCAACCAAAATTATGTCTACATTAAGTATGACTTTTGAACGAAAATTGGACTCTTTTTCATAGGTATCACTCCAGGCATGAAATTTTTCCAATCATCCTGTAAAGTCAGATTTTGAATTAATTTTCTACGATGAGCGCAATCTCGCTAACAAATTTTGCGTACGACGTACAGATTAACAAAAACCATGTTTAAAAACGCCAAATTCGTGTTCTCTGACCTCAACAATAGGTAGAAAACATGTTTCTGAAATTTTCAAAATTTTGACCGATTACAATACTTTTCACCTTACACTATATGTGCGGAAAAGTAAAAGAACAATTGAGTGGCCTGTACGAATCTCCTTTGAAAAAGACTAAACCTATAATCATAGTTTCTGAACTTGACGATCCAAGGTGAGAATAATACCACATATTTTTGAAAATTTAATGTGTGAAAATGCCTTCAAAAATGCCAGATTTAAAAAGATCCTATATTTTTTGCCAAAAACACATTGCAATTATGTTCCATAAGAGACTGTATGAAATGCATAACTGTAGCACAGCTAGCTCCACTACGGAGAAATATGAAGATCTAGTCAGTTTTTTCTCAGCCATAGACTAATAGTGTGGAAGTTTTGTGAGCGTGAGTTTCAATAAATATTGATTTATTTCATTTTGATGATTCGAAATTTATTATAAAGGTAATTGAGAGTAAATGGAAAAAGAAACATTCTCCGAATCAATTTTGGTGTCACGAATGTGAAGATGTCGAGATGTTGATTTTTTCATGAAAAGTAAGCCACAGAGAGACCGTCCAGATGGAACCGGTGGGCGACATGTAATACACCGTTGGAAAAGTATTTAAGCGTAGAATAAGAGGATATCATCAAATTCGAGATCCGAAGTGATTTGATGACATGAGTCATGATGAGTGTGAAGGTATCGAAATGTCCAATGTCATGCCAAAAAGGACCCTTCAGGAAATACCCATGGAATGAAAAACAAACATGATGTTTTATACATCGTTGGAAAGGTAATTGAGAGTAGAATGCGATTGTGTAAAAATATTTGACAAAACGTATGGGTGGGGGTCATTTTAATGGTAGACGTGGAGACATGATTTTCGACATTTTTGAAGTGATCGAAAAGTGTGGGGAAATGAAGTTCGACGATTTTAATCGATAGATATGATGTTTGGCTACCGAATAAAGGTAATAACTTGAAAAATAAAATGTCTTACATCCGTAAGATGAACTTTTCCGCACTGTGATCCACAACATGCATTTATTACAAATCTTTCACTCAAAGAATTCACGAGAAAACTGAATCTGACATTAATTTTACGATACAAATAATTTTCGAAGCACTTTTCATACAAAAACTACTAAAAATGTAAATTTTTGTATCGCAGCCATGCCTATATGACATCGTAATCATGTGAAAATTTGCAGAGGTTATTTTTTTCACAAAAAGTTAACATTCTGAAAGTTTGAAGAAATTTCAATGCATATTAAGGGTACTTCCCATACAAAATTTTGTTTTTGAGCAAAAAATCCAAAATTTTGTTCGGGAGGTGCCCCTACCCAAGTCAGTATTATACGCTTTTCGAAGAGTGTACACGCTCTTCTCACACTCTTCGTATAGTTCTATTCGACTCCCTTCTCACACTCTTCTCACACTTTTGCATAAAACACGTTTATTGCTCAGTAGCTTCAATTTTTTTCTCTAAAAAATTTTCTTTTTTTTCCTTTATAATAAATTTTTCCACTGATGGATAGTTTTTGATTTTGTTCATTTTTGACATTTTGAAAAAAATGAACGTATACAAAAAAAATGAATTTGTAGTTCTGTTGTATTTTGACACAGCTGACGAATGCTATAAACGTCAAAAACGTTCAAATATCAAAATACAAACATTACTACTAGAATGCAGTGACAGCAGTCATATCATTACCAATACCATTACACACTCTCTTCTCACTCAATATACGTGTTTCATGCAAAAGTGTGAGAAGAGTGTGAGAAGGGAGTCGAATAAAACTATACGAAGAGTGTGAGAAGAGCGTATACACTCTTCGAAAAGCGTATTATACTGACTTGGGTAATATGCGTTGAAATTTCTTCAAACTCTCGGAATGGTATTTTTGTGTGATAAAAATAACCTGTGCAAAGTTTCAGCTTATTACGATATCATACAGGCATGGCTTCCATACAAAAATCCATTTTTTTGAGATTTTTGTATGAAAAGTGTGTCGAAAGTTATTTGTATCGCAAAACTAACGTCATATTCGGTTTTCTCGTACCCAAATTCTCCAATACATATTTTTGACTGTTTAAGTATACATTAAATATCACTTTTGGAAGAAAAATTGAATTTTTGCCATGGATGCCCATCGGCATCACACCAGACATGACACTTTACTCTATCAACCAAAGTCGCTCAAAATCTAATGATTTTGAATTACTTTTATGGTTTGAACCACGCACATACATTCGGACATCGAAAAAACGCTAGATTCGTGTTCCCTGGCCCCAAAAACACCCAGAAAACACATTTTTGATGGGTGCTAATTTTTCGACTGATTCCAATACTTTACCATACACACTAGGTGTGTGCGGAAAAGTAAAAATTCTATACCCCATTTTGGACTTTTGGGTAATTGCAACTTTGGAAGGGTCTGACTGGCATCAAAAGTGGTCAAAATTTGAGTTGGCATTGAATAGGAAATTGCGAGACCTTTCCAACGAGGT